TTAAATCAAAAGAATTAAAAAGTTATAATCAATATACTAATAATTCATAAACCTTTTAATAGTAAGCTAATAGCAAATAGTTAATAATAAATAAATAGCAACATCCGCCAAGAGTAGAGTGATCGACTATATGACAAGATAAACTCAAAAAACATATTCTTTTTGTAGGTTATTGATAAAAATCTTCAAAAGACAGTAAAACTCCCACGAATATATCTATTTTTATTAAAGTAGAACCAAGCAGAAAACAGTGTAGGTTTATTGTAGTGTTAGAACTTAAATTGTTACTGCTGCTATTTTTTCTTTATTATTATAATCATAGAAAATTTTGGTTTTTGAAAATTTATCCGCTAAACCCCAAATCCGCTATACCGAGACTCACTGTGTAGTATATGGAGGCATTCATGTTCAATAAAAGGATTAAATAGTAATCAAGGTTGTGTGACGAAAATAAATGTGACGAAATAGAGTCTTTACACTTTGAGTAATTTGACGAAAGTGACGAAACTGATGAAATCAACAAAACAATAAAATAAACCATTTATTTTGTAGATTTTAAATTACGGAGTAAATAAAATTCATGATGTCAAATCCTAATTCACTTAATTCATCAATTCCTTCTCAATCATCATCATATAATATGAATTTGCAAACATTAAAATTAGATAATATACCTGAAAGTTCATTTAACAATAATCAAGAATTAGCTACAGGACGTCCTGCATTTGATGTATTGTTACACTCCATTAAAATAGTAAATGAAGAAGATTTCAACAATCAGAATTATCAGATGATTATACAGATCTTGAAGAAAGTTATGAAACCAGCACAGCAATAAATGTGAAGTAACAATTCCTATAAAATTTTGCGTACAAAAATTAATTATCCAACCAAGAAACATGATTTACGATATAAAAAAATGTTTAAAATTAAATTTTTGTTTTAATTAAATCTAAATAAAATTGAATTTTATATTTTCGTCACCTTTATCACAATTTGACTTTTGACTATACTATTTGTCACTTTTCGTCACAAGTGCCCCATTTGACGAAATACTTTTTACACTCCAAAATACTTTCGTCACCTAATAAAAAGGTCGTGTTTGTTTATTTTATTTTTTATTTGACAAGATATATATATCTTAATATATTTAAAAATTAAAATTAAAAGCCACCAGAGCAATTGCATTGAATCCAAGACTATGCCAATTGCACCATTATGTCAATCAAGCGTCTGGCTGTAATCTTATTTAGGTTTATGTGCAATTTAAAATTCTTTTGTGCTAATTGAGAGTCCAATCTTTATTTATATAATCTATTGATTTTTTTTTTTTTTTTGTGGGTAGCATTTTAAATTTAATTATATCAATTTGCAACTTAGGTTCCAAAAAAATTAAAGAAATTTTAATTATCAAAAAAAAACATCCCAATAATATTTCTATTGATTAATGGCTGCATAATAATAACAAATCTTTCCGGATTGGATCATATTGTCACCAATTATTATTTGGGAGAACATATTAATTGATGACAACAAATGCAAATTTATGATTATGTGGATCAGAATGAATTGGCCATCACTAGTGAACTGGTTTTATTAGCGAACAATTCTTTAGTGATTTAGAAAATGTTTATTTAATCGAAACTAATTTATCTAAGTTAATATTTACTTACAAAATTTATTAAACATCTTGCAAAGTTTTTTTACAAGTACAATATCTCAAACTCGAGCTTCTTATTATTATATACAATTAAAATTAATTAGTAGCAATTTCATTGTGATCTAACACTCTAATTGCGATTTAGCAATTTAATTCAATATATTACTTTAAATGCGACTACGTTAATTTCTACTAAATAAAGTTGATGTACAGTCTCTATATAACGAACTTTTGGGAAAAAGTTACAAAAATATAACCGCTATTTTTTCAATATTAAAAGTTCATTATTAAAAACATAAAATATAAAATATTAATATTAAAAACATAAATTACCAAATATTAATATTAAATATGTATTCAAACGTAAAGTTACTAAATTAAGAAAAAATAAATAGAGGATCAATGTCATGTGATATATGATTTTTTGACGGTTCGTCGTTATACAGTATAGAAAATTTAATTAGAGACAGAGATTTTTAAATAATAAAAAATCGGACTTAAATCTAGTTGTTATAGAGCAAGAGTCGTTACAGAAAGGGTCGTTATAGAGAGTGTATACTGGATAATCAGTGAATAATCGGTGAATATCATTCGACAAATACAACCACTAATTCTGATGGTACTAAGGTTGCTTGCCAAGGCCACTTAATGACTTCCAAAACTCTGATAAATAATTAGAGTGTACCTTGCTGAAACTCTGTCAATTGTCAAAAATCCCAAATTCAAGACTCTGCTGAAAACCCTAACAAACAATTGATGTATAACCTGCTGAAACTTTGCCAATTGATCCCTGGAGGAGTTTCGGCAAGCAACCATGGATGGTACAGATGTCGCACTTATGCATAAATATTCTTTGACTGATGGGAAACTTGATCTTCCACCAAACAAATGAATCTGTTGGCCGGTTTGCCTTATACCTCTTCTTCGCACTGCAATAAATCATTAAATAAATCATCAAATATTCCAGAATTATTTCCTAATGAAAGTATAGCCAGTAGATCATCTTTGTTGATCATTCCATACTGTTCTTTTAAAATGTTTAATGATTCTAAATGTACTCGATTATCAACAAATTTCAAATGTTGGAATCTTGTGTCTAATGCTGATGCAAGCATTGCTAAAATGGATGATCAGACCAGTAATGTTTTATTGAATTATACAAAGCTGAAATAATTTCAATAGTATTTGCGGACCTTGAGATATTCAAATTTGCACTTCTCCTTGATCATTTCTCCAATTGAATGTAATGTTAGATATTCTTGATTTTTTTGCCTCGTTTAAAGGTCCACACACAGTATCAATTGTAGTTACTGTCATCATCACTATCATCATCATTTAATATATTTGAAAGCATTTTCTCAAATAAGATATTAATGGAAATATTAATGATAAAGCTGCTCAATGGTGTGATGATTGTATTAAAGTGACTTAATATGTTAACAAATTCTCCCATTTAATAAAAAAAATTTTAATGTATCGCATTTTTTAACTAATAATCTTACCCATGTTTTAAATGTACTACCCAACGTGTTATTACATCAAATACAGATTTTGTTACTTTTGGATAGTCTTCTTTCAACCTCTCTTGTTGGCTTCTAATGGGTTTGGAGAACTAAAAAAATCAATTAACATTATAGAAAGAATCAGCACTTCTAATTTTATTTCTATAATACGAATGATGTAGACTCCCTCATATATCATGAAGATGTTTAGATTAGGAATATCAATAATTAATAAGGATAGAAAGTGCAATTCCAAGTTCAATATAGCAATTAATATTCCAAACACCCTCGTATGCTACTATATATATATTATAAGGTGAGTGCTGTACTAAAAAGCCATTATGCACTTGCTGAGTGGTCACTTATTTCCTTTTCTTCAGTATGGTGCCCACTTGACCTTCGGCACAGCAACACTTTCTACACAACGTTGAAATATTCAAGTAATTTATTGTTGCTGTTTAACCAAGGTTTTGTTAACTTGGATAATTTTTTTTATAATAAATAATTCATTGAGTTATAATAGCGTTTTTTGTAAATTTTTTACTGTATTAATAAATGATTTTTACATTACATATTGTAAAGCAATCCACAAGCATAAAGTGTCTAAAAGCACGAAGAAATAAATAAATTAATCATTAATATGATGAATTAATCCCCTGGTGGGATATTTATTATTGTTATTTTATTTTTCAAATATATTTGATTTTAATTAATATGTGGAAAGGGTTTTGGTAATAGTGATAGTAATAGGCTGAATTGCAAATGTTGGTATTGTTGATTATGTTTATACAAAATCTTATATCCCAAAATGGAATCAGTAAAAAATATTATGTATATTAATAAAGTTTTGATAACAATGAATTAATATGTCCTTTAATTAAGTATATTAACGCGACCAGGCCCAAAAAACTTCCTTATTTATGTTCCTCAATTCATTCTTATTCTGTCAAATAAAACCGGGTTTTTTAAAAAAAATTTAATGTCAATTCATAATAAATCTTAAAAAGTTAATGCACTTGTGAATGCTAAAACTATTCATGTAAATTTTTTACCTATTAATAACAAGCAACCAATCTTCACTAAAATTAGGGTCACCAAAAGAGATTTTTAATTTTCTTCGTGATTAATTATATTGAACATAGTATGCTTTTGCTTATAATTTTCATCAATGTTTGACTCTCAATTATAATCACAAAGTTTATATAACTCTAGTCCTATGTTCTTGATTGTATGAACTAGAATTATTAATTGAAATATTTATAGTTTTAGGAGTCATACATAATTTTCATTGTTCACTTTTTCAATAAATTAGCAAATCATTTGTTATCATTTTACCAAAATTTATCATTTCTAAAATAATAATAATAATAATAATAATAATAATAATAAATAGTCTTTGATTAAAAAAACTATTAATTGTAAGATGTATTAACATATATAGAAATTAAATAATTGGAAATTTACCCTACAAGCTTTTAATACTATCAAATCAATCGATTCGTGCGACATAAATACATCAAACTCTGACTCCGTACAGAAATAAACAACACTTTTGTTATTATTATTATTATTAATATTATATTGATTGGTGAATTTTAATTGGTGACAATAAAAATGAAAAAAAACCTTTAAATTTGAAATAAAATTCTCATTTATTGTTTTTGAAACCTACAAAGAAATTTAAAAAAAAAAAGTTTATTCCACTATATATTTAAATTATAAATTATATTATTTTTTTTTTTTCCATTTTCTATTTATCTTCTACATATATAAATATTTTATTTTTCTTATTTTGTCTTATTAAATAAACCATGATTGTGGCTTCCAATACTTCCAACATGAGCGAAAACTCTCCTTCAAAACATTTGAATTTAGGTTTGCGTTGTGTTTTATATTTCTTTTATTTGTGTAAATAAATATATAATTATTTTTCTTATTTCTAATAATAATAATTAATATTTTCTCTAAAATATTATTGTCTCGTAATAAAAATTTTATCAGGAGAAAGGCGACTTTATACCCCTAACAACGTTGTAGAACCACTAATTACTTCTAATATTACGACCACAACTACCACAGATAGTATTTTTTCAAAGGACCATAATTCACATAAACTTCCTATAAGATCTCAGTCAGATCCTAATAACGTTCACATAACAAATATGACAGCAACTGAAAAATCTGGCTCTACTTCGCTATCTTCTTCGCCTACGCATAATAATATTATTTTGGAAGAAAAAAAATCTGTTAGTTTTCCGCCTACAAATATTATAACAAGTCCATCAAGATTTGTCATTTTAGAAGATGAAATTGATGTTATTGGAGAAAGTGCTGTTGTTTCTAGCGCTAATGAAGTCGTCGTCGCTGGTAGTGGCAGTAATGAAATAAACAATGTAACCAGAACCACAACCACAACCACAACCACAATAATACAAACGAAGGAAAATAATAGTGCTCATCAAAAAGGGTCTTCTTCTTCTTCATCAAAACGAAGACCAAATAGTATGATAGCTTTGAATGAAAGTCAAAATCAAAATTTACCGCAGCGATCTTTTACTTCTCCAAGTAAATCTAAAAAACTCAATTATGCACTTTCAGATGGAGAATCACAAATAGAAAATTATTCATCAAAATCACGTAGTGGTGGTAATAATAGAAAAGGCATGCCTAAACGAAGAAGTACAGTGAGTGAAGAATACTTTGGGGAGGGGGGGAAAGGGATAAATTTTGATGAGGAAACTCAAAAAAAAGCAGAGATTGTTAAAAGAAGATTATCGAAAATGAAAAGGCCGGATAAACCTGAGGTGATGATTGGTACTAGAATTGATGTTGGACATGTTAACTATGTTCTTATGTATAATATGTTGACTGGTATTCGTGTTGGTGTAAGTATTGTTGTTTAATTGAGGGCGAAAACAAGGTTTAATTGAGTGTATGAAGGTGAATTATTGATTAATTATATATGAAATATTTTCTTGTTTAGGTGTCAAGATGTAATGCTAAAATGCATAGAGACTTGGATGAATCAGATTTTAAAGCTGCACATAAATTTTCATTTGATATGTAAGGAGAGAAAGAACCTTACGTTTTATCTTCTGTTTAAAATACATTACCTACATAAATACCAATTAATTCTTTTCCTTAACCAAACGTTATCATATTTAGAACGGGAAATGAACTTACACCATCAGCTAAATATGATTTTAAATTCAAGGATTATGCACCCTGGGTATTTCGTCATCTTCGTGAATTTTTTCATATAGATGCTGCTGATTATTTGGTTTCCCTGACGAGTGAATATATATTATCAGAGTTGAATTCACCAGGAAAAAGTGGGAGTTTCTTTTATTTCTCCAGAGATTATCGATTCATCATAAAAACAATACACCACACTGAACATAAATTCCTGAGAAAAATCCTAAAAGATTATTATGAGGTGGAATAATTTACTTTTTAATTAATAATTATCTAATCTATAAATTTGAATATAATATTAATTATTAAATATTTTAATTAGCACATAAGAAATAATCCAGACACGCTATTATCCCGTTTCTATGGTTTACATCGAATAAAATTACCCCGTGGATCTAAAATTCATTTTGTTGTGATGAATAACATTTTCCCACCTCACCGAGATATACACGAAACCTACGATTTAAAGGTAGTTAATTACATTTAATGATTATGATTATGAATCATTATATAATAATAATAACGGCGATGATAATCATAATTATACTAATCTCCATACCATCCTACATATCAATATACTTAGGGGTCAACTGTTGGGAGAGAATTTAATGAAACGGAAGCAGCCAAAAATCCAAGATCCGTGCTTAAAGATTTGAATTGGTTAAATCGTGGTAAATGCTTGGAACTTGGACCAGAAAAAAGAAAATTATTTGTTGAACAACTTCAAAAGGATGTTCATGTATGTATTTTATTTGTTTAATATATTGATGTATCATAACATAAACAATAAATAATATGATATATTATTATTTTAATTGATATTGTTTTTTAGTTGCTTCAACATTTAAATATTATGGATTATAGTCTCCTTATAGGATTACATTACACATCACGTGGAAATAAAGACAGCATTCGTCAAGATTTCTTTGTATTTCAAGTATGTTGACTATTTACATATTACTTATGTATAAATAAATCGTGTGCGCATAAATTATTGAATCTCTTTATTTATGCTCTTTTTTTTAAAAAATAAATAAATAGCCTCACAGTGAAAACTCGATACCGACTCATAAAAGAGAAAGTAAGGCATCCAAGTTAAGAAAATTAGTGGGTCAGGCTGATCCAGTCAAATTAGATCAATCTACTACAAAATTAGTTTTAGACGCTAAGAATGAGTATGTTAATTAAATTAATTAACGCCATCATTGTTTTCGTAATCATGATTATTATCGTTGTTAATCAAATTTTTATTTTCATGTCTTCAAAAAATAACTCGTATATGTAGACGTAAAAATTGTGTATTTTATATGGATGATGGCGGATTTCGTGCTACCGATGAACAAAATAATCCCACACAATATATTTATTATTTGGGTGTTATTGATATTTTAACTCCCTATAACACTGTTAAAAAAGCTGAGCATGCTTGGAGAGCTTTAAATAATGACAAGGTACGTCATTTTCATCTACTATTATTGCTATTATTATCAAATAACAACTAATTCTCGCTTTTTTTATAGAAAATGATTTCAGCTGTTAATCCAGATTGGTACGGTCAAAGATTCTTAGATTTTATGTTCAAGGCAATCAAACATAATGATGTAAAAGAAGAAGAGGAAGAATTATAGTTATTTATGATGTGAGAGTGTGAGTAGCTGTTTGTATTTTGTAGAGAAAGAACGATGGAATATGATGATGTGATGATCATCAAATTCAAAATTTTTAGAATCTTCAAAAAGAAGGTCAAGTCTTTTTTTTTTTTAATAAAATATGAAAAATGGTAGTTTTTATGTAATTTTATTATTATTTCATCAAATTTTATTATTATTATTGTTAATAATAAATCAAGATTTCTTTTATATATTTCATAAATTTTCGATGGACAATTAATTGTTTTAAATAATAACAATATACATTCATTCATTTATTAAATACACCTTATTATTAATTCAATTCAACCACACATCCTATTTATATTTATCCAACAACTTCACCTATAACCACTTTTTCACCTCTATTACCTATATTACCTCTTCCTAATTAATTTTCCATTTCCCCCTCTACTAATTAATCCTCCGCCCTTTTCCTAATTATCCACATACCAACCAACTATCTAATTCATTCTCTAATAAATCATTTAGAACTCTTATTTGTGTCAATCAATGTATATTAATTAGTATTTATAATTAATAGACACATATATATATATATATACATTCATTTACAATATTATATATAAAAACATTATATACAATCTTCTTTTTTAAATATATAAATACACTTTTTTTTTTGTAGATTTTTTTGGAAAAAAAATTATTTTGGGGTTATTTATTATTATTTTAACACATTCATTTGTCAAATTTTCAAACATTCATTTCCTTTTTTATTTTATTTTATTAGAATTTAAATATAAAGCATCTATACAATATCTACTATATTATTATATAAATGTTAAAAATACTTTGCTATTTTTTTTTCAAACATTTTTTTAAAAAATTTCAAAAACAAATAAAACACAATAAATCACTCAATTAATTGAAAATAGCTGTTCTTGACCGACCTAAATTTGCCAACGTTACACTCGGTAAATTAACAAGTTTACATTCGTTCGTTCCTTTGTATTTTAGTACACTGCTACTTACGAAAAGGAAACCTATTTAAAAAACATGTTTCTGAGGAGAAAAAAATCATCATTGAAAGTTGTTCTTTATGATAATGAGAATGAAATAATAATGGCAATGACAATGATTGACAATGACAATGACAATTATATTGACAATGATATTGACAATGATATTGAAAAATGATATTGACAATGGAACCAAGTAATGATAAGATAACAAATCAAGTATAGCTCGAGTCATCTAGTCCTGACCTATTTCATGCGGAAATCTTTCCCATGGATGTACAAAATACTTGTACTTTGTATTAAATGAACTTTTATTGCGCCTCGATATAAAACTTGTCTAATTTTAGAAATTATATGTAGTTAATTTCCGGATTTAGTTAGTACAACCACATCGCACTGGATTTCTAAATATAAATACTGTGTAATAGTAATCGAGATCTAAAAGACTGCGGGGAAACAAATCAAAATCAAAATCGAAAATTTTTATTTTTATTTTCCTGGTATGATGCATTTTGCGTTACAAAATAGAAGATTTTCTAATTTTAGATTGCAGAACTAAAATTAAAAATATTTTTTACTCGAGGTAATGTGCAAATTTGCCTGCAAGAGTATCAAAGGGATAGATAGTGTGAGATTGTAAATAAGGACTGGGGAAGTCCCGAGCATGTCGATCAATCGGAACCAACTTACTGCGGTAGTGTTTGTACTCATTGAGTACTCAATGAGTAATGTATGACAAATACTTAATATAGTATGATCGACTTTGAAATGTAAAAAACGTATAATTAAAATTTTATTTAATAAATATATATATAATAATAAAAAATAAAGACTTAGTCCGAATTTCAAGAAAAATAATGAAAAAAATAAAAGAATAATAATAATATTTATGATGTTTAAATACTATCACTAAAAAAAAAAGTTATTTTAATTATGATAAAATTGATGAATTTCGTTTCAGAAAAACAATTTTTGAAACAATATTAGGTGATAATTTATTTCTGCTTGGAATTATAAGATTTCCCACATCAGAAAAAAGTCGTTCTGATGGTACAGATGTTGCATTTATGCATAAATACTTTTTTGCTAAATTTGACATTATAGGAAACTCGTTTTTTTTACTATTCCACCAAATAAATGGATCTGTTTGCCGATTTGCAGTTGGTAAAGAAAAATATTTTTCGTATTCACCTTGTACCTCCTCCTCTTCATATTGCAATAAATCATTAAATAAATCATCAAATATTCCAGAATTATTTCCTGATGGGAATAATGCACTACTTGGATGAAATGAGCTGGTAGATTGCCTTCGTTGCTCTTTGATAATTTCATACTGCATTTTTAAAAAATTTAATGTTTCTAAACGTGCTTGATTATCAATAAACTTTAAATGCTTGAATCGTGGGTTTAATGCAGATGCTAGCATTGCTAAAATAGATGGTTCTGACCAATAATGCTTTATTGAGTTATATAAAGTTAGGATTATTTTTTCATATAAATCATTAGTATTTGCAGGTCTTGAAATATTAATTTTTTTTTCCTTTTTTCTCCATTCCTTTCTTCAAAAATTTGCACCTCTCCTTGATCATTTTCTTCAATTGAATGTAATGCCAATGGCTCTTGATTTTCTTGCAATGATTCTACCTCATTTAAAATATATTCGGCATTAATTGGTGGTATTTCTTCTTCATAGTTATTGTCATTATTGTTAACATCATTATCATTATTATCATCATTATTTAATATATTTGAAAGTATTTTTTTTAAATAGGATATTAATGGAAATATTAATGATAAAGTGACAAAATTTTTGCCACTCAATGTTGTGGTTATTGTATCAAAGTGACTTAATATGCTAACAAGTTTTTCAATTAATTCCCATTCTTGATCACTTAATAAAAAACTCTTTAATTTTTTAGCATCTTTTTTTACTTCTCTGTCCGAATTCAATTCCATATGCATCATTAAAAGAATTATTGCCTTTTTTAACTCTAATAATCTTACCCATGCTTTAAATGTACTATTCCAACGTGTTATTACATCAAATGTGGGTTTTAATACTTTTGGATAATCCTCCTTCATTCTCTCTTGTTGTTTTTCTAAGGCTTCTAATTGTTCTGGAGAACTAAAAAAATTTATCAATCTTTTGGCTCTAAGAACAAGAGCTTTAATTTCATCATTATAATTTAAAGCTTTTTTAATGCAGAGCTGGAATGTATGAGCGGAACATGGGATTCTGTCAATTTCCAATGAGTTTTTTAATAATTTTAAAGCAGAAACCATGTTGCTACCATTGTCAGTTGTTATAGCTGAAAGTTTCCAATCCAATTCCCATTTTCTTATTTCATTTTCCAGCAAATCTTTTATAATTATGCCTGTATGAGGATATGGTACATGAACTAAATTTAAAAGTACTTCAATAGGTTCAAAATTTTCTGTTAGCCATGTCCCTGTGATTCCCATGTAACCTTTTCTTTGATTAGTTGCAGTCCAAAAGTCAGTAGTAATGGACACAAATTGGCAGTTGTTAATTAATTTATTGAGCTCATTAGTTGAATGATCATACATTACCTCTAGAGATTCTTTAATTGTAGTTATACATGAAATATTAAAATGTGGGTTAAGAGAATGAACAAATTCTTTAAAGCTAGAACTTTTTAAAATATGAAATGGTTGTACATCTTTAATTATAAATTCAATTAATTTTTTTTTAATTTCAGTGTTTTGATAATCATTGAGTGGTGGTATTGTCAGTTGAATTGAACCTTCATTCTTGTCTAAAATCTGTATCATTTCAAAAGAAAGAACAATAAGAAACAATTAAATATATTAGATGATATTACGAAATACCTTTTTGATCACTTCTTCTCTAATAATTCCATGCTCCTTCCGTAAATGTGAGATGGTATTTGAAGTAGACCCTTTATTTGTATTATATGAAAAAAAATAATTACATGGTTCACCATTTGTTTTTTTGACAACACATCTCCAACCATCTGACATTTTTTCGCAATAATTCCAAATAAAGCTCTTGTTTTTTGTTGTAGAGCTCCTTAAAATATTAACATCTCTTGAAAAACTACCAATGCTGGTATTATTTGATGACTCAATTTCAGAAGATTGCAAAAAATATTCATCTTCAGGCTGTGAAAAAAAATTATCTTCCTCAATATTATTATTATATGACATTTGTTCTTTGTAAATGAATGGAAAGGATTGGATTGAAAAGTAAAAAAAAATATAATTGAAATAATACAAAATATTATAATAAAATTTGAACGGAAATTGAATAAGTATTGTGATCAAAAAATTCATTTGTTGAAACATTGATAAAACATTGACCAAACAATAAAGGTTATATTTATACTAATTTCAAATAGAAATATGATAGTAAAAACTTGAATTAAAAGGGAAACTCATTAAAAATTTGTCTGTATGAAACTAAGTTTATTTGTATGAAAAATTCATTCAGGTTCTTGTATGAATAAAAAAATCAAATACATATATCAAAAAAAAATATCAATGAATCAAATGAAATAGTTCTCATACTTCAATTGACTTTCTAAGCTTATAGCCACTCCTAAACATTATAACTAATTATCACCGAATGAAATATTGTCTTTCTAAACTCCAGCTATTCCTAAATCATTAATTATAAACTTAAAAAATTTACTGTATGAAAAAATTCATAATAATTAAAAAATCAGACATTGTAAGAATTACTTATCAAATGTTATAGTAAAACACATTTTTATGAACAGATACTTTAATAATACAATTTATCTTTATTTCTTTAATTTATATTGAAAATACATAATATAAAATATTGATAGTATAATTAGAACATAATAATAACAATAATAATTAATAATAGTGTTGTTATGATAGAAATTAATTAATATTAATATTAAAGTATTATGTCCAAAAACAGGAATAGTAAGTAAACAAATAATTACACATGACTTGTTACAGACGCGTATATATCTTCTCTTAATATTAATAAACATTAAATTTTTGTCTTCTTTAACTGAAAAACTTAAAATGAAAAATAAAATGATTTTTGTGCCGATAAAATAATATAAAACAGGTAATGCAGTAATCATATTAAATATTATTATTGGTTGTTCTTGTTTTGTAATTTACATTTCCATAATATTAAAAAAAAATTATTTCCGTTGCTTTTCTAACAATTTTTATATTAATATTAATATCTAAATATGATAGGTCAATATCATTTTGTGTCACTCGAGTACTCGTGAGTACTCATGAGTGCGGATCTTTCCATTAATAGTATGATCTACGAGTACTCACGGTACTCACGGTACTCACATTACTCATGAGTATCCGGATTACTCATGAGTATAGATGGGCGCCTAAATTATTTTTGGGGTTGTCTAAAGTCAAAATAGTATTTAGACACAAATGTCTAAATGTCTAAATTAATATAAATAGTAATGATTTGCTTTAAATACAACTAAAAGTCACGTGGATATTCACAAAATCCACAAAATTCAGTAAATTATCCAATAAAAAATTCAATTTCAGCATTTTAGACAATTGAGACCATTGTCCAAATGTCTAAATTAATTTATATTTTAGACATTGTCTAAATAATTTAGTTTAGACACCCATCTATACTCATGAGTAAATCATTATGAGTACAAACACTACCAGAAACATTATTTGTTACACAAGTTGAATTTTCTATTTTATATGTATATAATTACACTTACTGCGACATATCATTTGACTGATAATAGAATAATTTATAAAAAATCATCAGAGCACTTGCATGAGAGGAAAATATTCGGACCCCAAGCCATTGTGAGTATTACCTATTCTTTGGACACTGACAAAAATCTAACTTTCACTATTACTACTGCTATTATTATTATTATTATCAATAATATCATTGTTAATATTCATATCTTTGTTGTTTTCATTATCTTTTTCATCTTCGCTCTTTATCTCTCCTTTTCAATCCATTGTTGAATTTCTTCTATGGTGCGTGAAGCCTATAACCACCATTTTTGCACGTGATTTTTGAAAGAATAGAAGTCCGTTTCTGTTGATCCTTTTTTAAAAAT